GGGAACCAGGTTCTGATCTTTATTACACAGGAATGTAAGGGAAGAAACTCCTGAAGTCCATGTCGTTACTGTGGGTTATGTACATGTGTCTGAGATCAGAAACTGCTCCTCTGTGTTTGTTTTGCTTGTGGCAGTTTAAAATCTCTGAATGGACTGGTGTAAATTTGAGATTGTTAGTTTTGGAATAGTTGTTCTTGCTTGATCCCGGCCACCAACTGCAATGTTTAAACGCAAGGCTTGTTGTGAAGCCTAAAAATATTCACACATAAGAAGCTTTTAAACTGGTGTCTTTAAAAGAAGAGTAAAAACAAAGATTGTGGCAAAAAAAACTGGGGTCAGTGCTCTTGGTGCCTTTTCTATAATTGTACCTGTTTTTAATTACTTCTTTTCACTGCCAGCATTGAATTACAGTAGATGTGCTATAGCTCATTATCAGAATTCTCTTGTACATTTCTGAACTGCTGCTTTATGACCTGATTCAATTTAAAAAAAGGGAAAAAAGAAAAACGAACAGTCTGGCGCTCACACTGTGCCTGTGGGCAGCCTCATAGCCTCGATTTACGGTATGGAATTGGGACCTTAACCGTTAAATTTTCTGCTTGCGCAAAAACGGAACAGGAGACGCCGAAGAATCTCCTTTGGAATGAATTGGAAATGCTCTGTATTAATACTGGAAGAACTCTGACATTTTGAAACTGAAATGTTGCTCCCATTAACCAATACGTGACAATATAGAATCGACCTTTTCCTAACAAGAGTAGTGACCTCAGTGGAAATGTTTTAACTCCCTGTCTTTACAGAAAATGATTCAGTAATATACAGAGCTATTTCAAATTACTCTTCCAGATCCATGGGCCTGGTGGTGTATCTACTAATCTAGATCCTGCTTCAGCCAAACGTTTAAGCATGTACTTGCTGTTAAACATGCAAGCGATTCCACGGGCGCAACAGAACTACTTGCATGCTTGAAGCCAAGTACAGCTTCCAAGTGCTTTGTTGTGTCGGGCCATAACCCTTCAGTGTATCACTGGGGAGTTAGAAAGACTCCCCCCGCAGTGAAGTGATTCTGCTCACCCGTTTCTTGGTTGTGGAACTTACATTGTCACGGAAGATAAGTAAGTGCAGCTTTCCGGGAAAATTCAAATTCCCAAGTGCCAGGAGCCAGATCTTCTGTCTTCTGATAATGGAATTGCTCCTTTGTGAAACACATTCGACAGCAGTAATACTGTGTGAAAGAAATACAGAATATAACATGAACCCCCTCTCTGGTTGCACGCTTATGGCAGTTCCACACAATAGCTGGTGCCCAATGGGGGGTCCCCAAGACTTGCATGTAAAACTAGTATAGATGTCTTCTCTTTTGTAAGTTTTATTTTTGTAACCGTGCATGTAAAGCATCACTGAATCAATGGATCTGTTGAAGAACTCAGCTGCTGGAACCATGCAAAATGTTTTGAATTGCCCTTAAAATATGGAAAATGTTTTCTGAATGCTTTATATTCTTTCTGCTGTAAATTAAAAACAAAGAAAATTTCCCCATACAAAGTGTGCGCCTTTCTTTAAACATGTCTCTTCTATCCTAGTTGAAAAGCATGGTGTAGTCCTTTAGTCACTGTACGTAACCATGAAAAAAATCCGTTTCTTTTACTACATGGCCTGCTTGTAAGTAGCACCTAGTTTCCTGCGGGTTATAATCTGAACAGTCCACAGCCTACCCGCGAGCGGGTGCGCAGCCCCTGGAGTGTGGTGGGATCACTAAAGGCAACAACACAGTCCCTGGACCTGCAGCCCTTTCTGCTGCTGTATTCCAGTGTGTAACCTTCATCTGGTGCATAAAGCAGCATGTTTGAGAGGAACTCTCTATTTCTTGGGAAGCAAACTTTTCCAGGTCCCCTGCTGAAGAGTGCCGCTGCCCAGTGGTGCTCTGCAGCTCCCGGGCACAGCACTGCCAGCCCGGTCCTTCTCCAGTTCAGAGGCCAGCCCAGAGCTCCATGACACTGCTCAGCACTACTGGCTCACACCTGAGGCCCTGCAGGTGGCTCGCGCGCTGGCAGCTGCTAGACAAAACCTGTACATGCCAGCCACCCTCTCTGTTTCTTCCCCTCAGGCCCTCACCCCAAGCAGAAACTTCTCCTTTTGAGTGTTGTCCACACTCTTACAGCAGTAAGGAAAACTGTTTTAAAACCACAGAGGCTGGGTACTCATCTACCCCTAATATCCAAGCGTCAAAGTACAGGTTTTGCCAAGATGACTATAACTACACAAAAGCATTCAAAATCCAATTGTCCTTAAAATACAAGTTCTGCCCAGCTGCAGCTAGCAGCCTGGTTTGGTGGAAATTAGTTTCAAGGCAATATGCTATGACAGCATTTCAAATTTGGAAACGTTCTGTGAAATCATGTAAGGCGACATAATACTACAGATTTGTAAATATTTCACCAGCCCTTAGGTGGCCCCAGTTCCGATTAGAGTCTCTAACACAACTTCAAGTAGTTCTATGTAATAGTATAAACATGGCAGATAGTACTCACCTATGGATGACTAGCTTTTCTGAGATCAAATTATTTTCAGTTCCTCTTCAGTAAACAATCACTTCCAGGGCAGGGCATATGGGCTTTTCATGAGAGACCCTGCAAACCTAGTAGAAGAATGCTAAATCCTACATTGTGCACAAAGCAGAGGTGAATCTTAGTAGAATTCAAGAGGCCTGCTGATGCAGGAACCTAAGAGGTCACACTTAATAACACAATAATACTAAACTGAGACTTAGTAACTGTTGCACTGAACAGCTATGTAAGTTACATGAACCAACCCTCAGTAATGCAACTTCTGTACCTGACTACAAGGCTAGCCTAGCAGGGAAAAACAGCTCTAATAGATTAATCACCTTGTTTCTGAAGGACTATGTTAGTACTAGTATGAGTAAGTTCTTCCAAAACCCAGGACTACAACAGAAGACGAGATTTCATTAGGAGAGTTTCTTCTGGACTACAGAGAAACATGTTTAATTATGTTTCTCTTTAAGAAAAAAAATCAGCATTTAACTCCCTGATTTGCTCACAGATAGTTCCCCGATTTTCCATTTTACATGCCTGTTAATTCCTGGGTTCGCCTTTGGCATCGTGGTGGGTTGACCCTGGCCAGAAAGTAAGCACCTACCAGCTGCTCGCTCACTCCCCCACCTCCCCCGTTCTCCCCAGTGGCATGGGGGCGAAGAAAATTAGAAGAGCAAACGTGAGAAGAGAATGCCTGGGGTGAGATAAAGACAGTTTAATAAATGAAGGGAATAAAACCAAAAAGAACAAAAATAGGAACAAGTGATGCAAAGGCAGGCAGTCACTACCTCCCACCAGCAGCCGCATACCTTTGGACGACCACGACCACCACCCTCGCAGCTTTACTGCCGAGGATGATGTTACCTGGCGTGGAACAGCCCTGTGGTCTGTTTGGCGCAGCTGTCCCCGCTGTGTCCCCTGCCAGCCTCTCACCCCCCCAGCCTGCTCACCGCGGGGGGGGCAGCAGGAGAAACAGAGGCAGCCTTGATGTTCAGGCCGCCTTTTGGCCGTTCAGCAACAGCCAAAACATCAGCATGTTATCGACACTGTTCTGGCCACAAATCGAAAAGTTGGCACCGTACAGGCGGCGACGAAGGACATCAGCCACGTCCTGGCCAGGCCCAGTATAGGCATAACCCCGCCAGGTCTCCAAGCCCAGCTGTACTGGGGGGCTTCAGGCACGCCAGGACCCCTTCACAACCAGCGAGAGGGATAAGAACAAATCTACCCGCCCTGGCAGGCCTTCACCCTTCAGCATCTTCCACTCGCCCTCAGGTGACAGCACGAGGCACGCACCGAGGCGTTTAACAAGAAAAAAAAAAAGAAAAGCACGCACACTTTTTGCACCGCATAACCACAGCGCTGCCTCAAAAATCACCTCGTGTCCCCGGCAGTTCGGGCCAAGCGCTTGCTGCTGAGGCGGCGTGACCTCACCACTTCTGAGGGCTGCCGCACAGAACCGGGGTCTCTCACAGGCGGCCCGCAGCCCCGAACTGTGCCCCCACCCGCGCTAACACACAGGGGGTGGCCGGAGGAGCCGTGTCCTGCCCAGGAACTGGCTGGGGGGGG